GGCCAGTCCTAAAATAACGCGCACGCCAGACAAATATGCGTTCGATAAATAGTATTAGTGGTAAGCGCATTACATAAACGGAAGCATAAGAAAAATGTAAAAAAAATGTTGTTGTTGTTGTAGTGGCTAATACTTTCTTTTGGCTGCCAAAACACATATAGACACGCTCGCACACGCTCGGTGTCCACGGCTAAAGCATAAATAATTTTTATTGCTTTATTATCGCTTCACTTTTCAGCGGCGCTACGATTTATCGACTGTTAGTCGGTGACGTTGCATGATTTGTTGCATGGCAATATTTTATTTGCACACACTGTTTGGCGTTCGTTTGCATTTTGTGCCGCATTTGCATGTGGCAGCCGTGCTATTGACCATGGCCGAACGTGCAAAAACTGCTAAAACCAATTTTACATCATTTTAAGCCATGCCAAAGTTAATTAATTTATTTAAAAAAATTTAAAAATATATAATTTTTTTTTTTTGATTTTTTAAGCGCTCATTAAGCACCCGTTATTGTGACATTCGCTGCTATTTATAACTAAAAGCATTTTATTTTCTTTTTCTTCACTCCCGCCCGCCTAGCAGCTGCAAGCGCTAATCACTCTGACAAGTTTGCCATCATAATTAACCGCATGTCGCTTAAGCGTGTGTCGCTTTTTAGACGCAAACTTTGCATAATTAACCGGTTCTATATATTTACCAGTTTTTACTTCTTTTGTTTTTTGTTGTCTTTGTTGTTGTCATTCGATTGGCATTCAGTTTCGTTTTCAGCTCATCTGCAATAATATTTTTCCATTTCAAAGCCATTATTGCTACTCTTGCTGTCGTTGTTGTTGTCTAATTTGCATTACAGCCATGGCGAGCGTGTTCTTTAGGCATTTTGCATTATTCAATACATGTCTGTTAGCATCCGCATCTGTTCCAGAGAAATCATTCGAAAAGACTTGCGTAAATTCATACATATATGTGGTGGATTTTCTTTGTAAAATTATCGCATAAACGTTTCGAGGTTTTTTTTGTTCCTTGTAAAACTTGTTTTGCCATAACCATTTGACATTCAGAAATAAAGTTGCTCTGCGCCATGTTGTGGCTAGTATTTTTATAACGGCTGCTGAAATTGAAGAATTTTGCAATCTCAACAAATTGCTGATATATTCTTTATTGAATGCGGCCTTTAGTACTTGAGGTTATGCTAAATAGACTTAACATTTTTACGGTTATATTACTATTTTATTATAATAAGAAATTAATTTTTAAAATTTTTTGAGGTTAAAAGGACGCTGAAATTCGACAGATTAACCCGCGTAGGGTTATCCGTGATATCCTAGTATCGGCATATTATTAAAGTATAAAATTTTTTAAATGCAACAGGGTTCTGAAAACGTAACATATTCCCGAAGAATTTACAAGCAGTTCAGTTAGCTCTACAATCAATATGTCTTACGTACATAGCTTTCAAATTATTATTTTTCATCGTTAAACTCTTAAGTTTATAGAACGTTTCACTGACATCGAAAAACGAAGTAATGAAGGAACCATAAACAATGACGAACAATGAGCAGTCTTTAGGAGCGTTTGAGAGAAAAGTTCTTCGAAGGATTTTTGGCCCTCCCCAACACGTGGAAAAAGGTAAGTATTGGATTTGATGGAATGATAAGCTGTTTGAGCTCATTGGCGGCTGCGCTGTCTTGGCCATGTTGCCCGAATGAAAGAAAGCACTCCTTGTCTCAAACAGTACGATTAACTGTTAATGAGTCTAAGTATTTCCTGAAGATGGCAGAAGATCAAAGCATCCGGATTCAGAAATCCAAACGCAGGTATTCACACAATTTTTTTCCTTAATTTTCTTGGGTAAAAACCACTGCAAAAAACTTGTTTTGAGTTATGTAAGTTAAGGTACCCTGTATTATTCTAAAAGTAGCGAACTATTGCTAAGCATCTGCGCATTTGTTGTTTGTAGCTTGTTTAGTTAAAGCCTCCAGTCTAAGAAGTTAAGCAATAAGAATACTCCACAATTATGTTAAACTTATAATTATATATAAGGCAAGAATATAAATGGCGACATTGACACTGAAACTGTTGCAATTGATATTGGCCAGCCATTTGATATTCAATTCAAGGAAATGACCTTGCCACAGTTTTTCTATGACTCCAACATGTTGTAAGCCTGATATATAGGCGACACTAAACTACTCAAGTAAATGCTTTTAACGGGTTAAACGGAGTAGGAAGTCAATACAGAGCATATTTTGTATTAAAGTTATATGTTATTAACTGAGCAAGGACGTCGAGTTAGTCAGATGTAAGTACCTAAACGCTCAGCTGCCAGCTATACAGTTACATTAACCCTACTTTGCATCAAGGAAATGTTAAGTGAGCAATAGTCATAATGTAGACATTAACCATAGGCCACAAAAAAAAACAAATAAATATCATGCAATAGAAAAAATTCAGCGATATACATATGAGACGTGAAGTACAATGCGGATGTATGTATCCATGTACATAGCCATTAACAAAAGTGGAGCCAAGCTTTCAGCTAATAATAGTTCGATATTTGCGCGCTATGAAAACAACCGAATTTAACATTGATAAGAGAAAGAGTCGATAAAATCGAATATATAAGAGCGATAGTGCGAGCCTGAGTGTGTAACTCTCCGTGCACAAGTATTACCTAATTTCACTGAGATCCGTCAAGCTGACAAATGATATATGGAAAATAAAAGAGGCAGAGAAAAATGCAAAAAGTAAAGATAAGCTGACGACAAATGAAGAAATAACACAAAGAAAATCAAGAAATACCAGTCATACCACACCAACAACAAAGTGGCTGCAACAAAGAGTTCACGTCCATGCACTAATACTCCGCGCTACCCTGACAAACGGTTAAGAGGCTGGTGTTAGTTTGAAAGTCGCCTCATTTTTTACTTATTACAAGAAAATATATATAATAATAAACAAAAAATAATCACAAAAAAAGAAAATAAGAAAATAAAAGTATAAATAACATAAAAATAGTACAAGCATTAGAAAAAAGCTGCCGACCGTCGGTGTTAAGCAAATCGAAACAAAACAAAAAGTAAGGAAATCTATGGAAAAAACGCAACGTAGACAAATTGTTGCATTCCTCATACGCGGAACTCGTTCAATACGTCATGCAGTTACGGTATTGTACCATATGAAGTTTACTATATAAACCGCTGATATTAATTAATTATATTAACAAAATTTCCCTAAATTGAACATAATTAATTCTAACTAAGTCGATTTAATTAACTAATTTTGTTTAAATTAATTGAAATTACGTTAATTTATTAATTTTGAATTTAACTAAATTTGCCTTATTTTTCATTAAAATAAAGAAAACTTTATTTAACAATTTTTTTTTTTTTCATAAAAACAAATAGCACTTTATTTACAAACAATTAACTTAATTAAATTTAGTTTCAATTTCATAATAAATTATTAAAACTTTTCTGATTTTGTCTTATTTTAATTTCAAATTCGTCACATTGATTTAATTAAATGCTTTTTAATTTATATTAATTGTATTTAATTTTTTTTTTAATAATTATGTTTTGTTTTCTTTGTATTCGATTAACTTAACTTCATTAAATTTAGTTCGTTGTTTTAACTTTGGTTTAATTTTTTTTAATTCAACATAATTTTTTTCCGTTATTTAATTTTCTGTAGTAATCAATTTTTTTTTGTAATAATTAATTTTAAATTTAGTACAATTTTGTGGTTTGAATAAGGATAATATTATAAATTAAATATAAATTAATTTAAATAATTAAGTTGATACTGGCTTCTATTAAATTACTTAATTTCTTTTTAAATTGTAACAATTTTATTTTCATTGAATTAAATTAAATTAATTTTGAAAATTTTTAGCTCAACTGAAGTTGAGAATTTTAATTTTAAATTAATTTACTTTAATCTTTTTTATTTGATTTAACTTAATTTAATTTGATTTAATATATTTCAGTATTACTAACTTTCGTTTTAAATTATAAGTGTGACCTAAATCAACTTTAGCTTAAGTTTAATTCAAATGTGATCTAAATAAATTAAATATAATATAAAATACGTACATAACACGATGCTTGCTCAATTTCAGGTAGATTATAGTTTAAAGTTATAATTATTTTGTTGTAATTTAAAATTTAATTAACTTTAATTTTATTGGGTTTTAGTTCGTTTTTAATTCAGTTTTCATTCATTTTAATTTTTTTTTTACTTCAATTTATTTTAATTAATATAATTAATTTGGTCCCACATTATCTTTTAACAATTTTAAATTTTAATTGGTTTAAAGAGTTTACTTAAGATAATTAATAAGTAAGATGTAATTTAGCATAATTTTTAGATTTAAATTTTCATAATTTTATTGTATCTCTTGGAGTAAATTATTTAAAATTTATTTTAGCATTAAATTTGTTTTTTTTCTGTTTGATGTTATTGAAATTTGATTTATTTTTATTTAGTTTTTAGTAATTTTTGATATTTTTAAATTCATTTATTTGTATTTTGCAATTGGCATCATTTCATTATTTTTATCTAATCTTATTGTTTTATGACATTTAATTTATTTAATTTTTTTTAATAATTTAATTTTTTTGATTTTGTAATTTTTTTTCATATAATTTAATATTATCTAATTTATTATTATAATATTTTTATCTAATCTTATTGTTTTATGACATTTAATTTATTTTATTTTTTTAAATTATTTAATTTTTTTGATTTTGTAATTTTTTTTTCATATAATTTAATATTATATATATAATATTTTTTTTTATATTATTATATTAAATTTAATTTACTTTTATTTATTTAATTTAATTTTTTTTCTATTTATTCAATTTATTTTATTTATTTCTATTTTATTATTTCTTTTATTTAAATTTATTTAAAATAGTTTATTTTTTTTAATATCTTTCCCATATATTACTTTATCTGTATATATGGTATATGTGTTTAACAGTTATTCAACTTACCAGCTGCGACGAAAGAAAGTGCCAACAAAGCACTTAACGCCAGAGCTAAGTCCATCGTGTGCTTATGCATTTTATTTTCAAACAGAAGAAAAAATCGATATCTATTCGAAGATAT